CCCTTCCTTCTACACCACCAACCTCTCCTAAACTTGTTCCTTTTCCTCTCCTTCCCCAGGACCTGATGCCAAGGCTGCGTGAACCGCTGCAGCACTACCACACCCTCATTCGCCAGCTGAAGCGGCAACAGGCGTCAGGGGCCATCGGCCAGAGATAAGGCGGCAGGCGACCCGACCAAGGGAACGCCGCTTGGAGCCCCGAGGGCAGCCCGGCGGGCGTCAAGAGGCTGCTGGTAGCTAGCTGAGAGTCGGTAGGGGAAATGGGTGGGGGAGCGGTGTGTGTGTGTGTATGCGCGTCCGATGCGTCAAGACGGTGGCAGGTTCTGTGTGCGTGTATGAGCGATGTGTGATGGAATGGGATGATGCCGGCCAGTCGAGAAAGAGCCTTTTGGTTGTAGCGTCACTCACCTGCTCATTGTGTGGTGTGGCTCTGACGCTGGGGTGCCTGCACTGTAGGCCACCCGCCGCTGGTTCGCTGGATCTGGGCGGCACAGATCGGGCGAATAAGTGTCAGCTGGGCGCTGCGAAGGCACAGAAGGCAGCGCGACACAATACGTCACCACGGAACGTGCTGTGGACGAACAGACGTCGACGTGTGTTTTCACCATGCACCTAGGCATCGATTGCTCTGTGACTGTACGTGTGTCGTCATGAGTGTTGCGAATCGATATCGACAGTGTCAGCCAGCCTTCCGAAGCGACAGGCGGGCTGAAGCAGTCGAGATGGATTCGGCACACTCCTGACAACACACGCAAAGCAGCAGCGCAGCTATGTCTCGCCCGGATTCTCAGCCGCATTCATTGGAGGTAGGAGTGCGCATGAGCGGCTGGCTCTTTTGATGCATGTCTCTCTTGCTTGTGACGTGCATTTAAGGAGACTAGCGTGTGTGCTTACGCCTATGGCTCAATCATATCAGCAGGTCCTAGTCTCTCTCTCTCTCTCTCTCAGCTCTTGAGCTGCCCTATTATCCACAGAACCTCTTGTACGGCCTCCTTTTCTTCCACACGGACACCAACACACTGCAAGCACCATTCCCACACAGGCGCACACACGTATGGTCCACACACACAGACAGGGCTCCACTCACCTGGCAAGTGCCACAATGGCCAGCGAAAGAGAGAACGGCAGCAGCAGAAGAACTATGACATTCGCCGCTTCCCTCAAGGAGGTTGTGGGGGTGTCATCGGTTGGCGGCAGGGGCATCACTGGCTGCTGCATCGGATGAATGGGATAGTCCACACCATGCGGCCACACTAACAACACACAAGCAGACACTTGACAGATAGAAAAACAGAGATTGGAGGAGAGACATCACCCTTAGTCACCCTGGGGGTAGATGGGGCTCACTGGCGCGTGGTACGTCACCGCTCTGTCTTGCTGCACACGGTCCTGCTCCCTCACATCATGATGGTGGGTGGGGGGCACGTACAGATGTGTCGTGGCGACGTGGTGGGAAGACGCCTGATCATGAGACGAGCTGGGGCTTGGGTTGCCGCTGTGGGGCTGACTCAAATGCATCGATATGGGTACTGAACGAGAACACGAAAGCCACAAACCCATCCATCCATCCCACCCATCCAGATGAGTGTGGCCTTCTCTCTCTGCCTCTCCCTCACCGGTGGCGTATTTCGTCTCGTGCTCTCTCCTCTGGACAGCTGGATCGGCATGTTGAACAGGCATCCCCTGCAAACTGATCAGTCTTGGCATCCCGATAGGCGCATAATGAGATGGCCTGGGCGGCGCTGGATGGCTGTCCCTGCTGGAGCTGTGGCGGAAGACTGAGTGGTGGCTCCCCTCTGATTTCCCCCCAATGTTTGCCGCCTCCACTACAGAAAGGGACATCAATCTGTCATTGCAAAAGAAAGCTGTGGTCGTGTATTCGGCCAATACCGTGTTGCCAGGCCAGGAACACAGTCGTGAAGACAGCACGCGAGACGGCTGTCATAAGTATCATTGGATTGAGCTCAGAAGCCGACAGGCAGTGCATGGGAGATCAAACAAGTACGAGAGAGGGAAAAAACGGTATGCATGCAAAGTCTCCGAGTCAAGGCAATGGGGGCTACTGGGGGGCAGAGCGGACGAGCAGGAGAACTTGAAGTTGGTACTGCAAAGCATTTGCAAAGCCCAGCAAATGTTTCCAACGATATCCACCAACGACACGACCATGAGGCGGGAATACCCGGACGCGTTTGCAAGTAAAACGGCTGAGCCCCAAGCAGCGAAGGAGAAGGGGGAATGGGGGAGCAACGGCCAGATGGTTAGCCGGCCTACCAACCAGGTCCACGAGAGAACCAACCGACGTACGGCCTTCGACTCTGACAGGCGTAAGTGCATGAGACACTCATGAAGTCGGCTTCCATCCCTTCCCTCCTTCGTCAGTGCACCCTATTCATGTTGGCTGTGCCGTGTGTGTCTTTGGCTGATTGCAGAGGTGACAGCCCGCCAGACCACACAGACAGCAGTACGATTCGATGAGGACGACCTGACTTCGGAGGCCTCTCACGCCCTGACTGAGGGCTACACAACGTGTGCCAATCCCGCATCGACAGCCAAGCTTCAGGACGACCTCGTAAAGATCGAGAAGGCCCTGAAGCAGAAGTATCCTGGCTCCTTTGCGACTCTCACCGTGCGGCCGTGGGAAGATCCTCAGCGCTGGACTGAAGAAACGGAGCGGCTGGCAGAAGTGAGAGAGGGAGTACGGATCTGGCAGCAAACGGAACAGCAGCAACGAGCCCAGAAGGCTTGGCAGAACCGTGCCATGGCACAGCGGGAGCGCCGCATCATCGAGGAGACACGAGCGCAGGAGCAACAGCGAGCCCAGAAGCGTGTCATGGCGCAGCGGGATCGGTGGGAGGCAGAGAGAGCGGAGCAGCCCCAATGGCGGGAGCAGTGCGGGAGTTTCGGTGCACGCTTCGCCAACGCACTATATGACGGCATGGTGGTTGGACCGCAGGAGCTGGTCCGTCTCGGCATCGGACTGATGCGAGGGCCCCACAACGAGAAGGACAACAACAAGTACGCGCCACAGCGGAGCACCAAAACCACCACGATCGAAGCGCATGGCGGCTGTGGATTGGCCTATGAGCGCCACGGCGAGGGGCCCCACTGGGAGTATCGCAACGCGGCAGGAGGTCGGGGGTGGGTGGGCATAGAGGCCAACACTGACGGACGTGAGACAGCCACGCCATGCCACGCCGTGTCTCCATTCCACCTCTGCCCGGTGTACCTCCCTCATGTCGATTGTGTTGTGTCTGTTCTGGTTGAATGTAGGGGCTGAATGGGGGAGCAACGGCCAGATGGTTAGCCGGCCTACCAACCAGGTCCACGAGAGAATCAACCGACGTACGGCCTTCGACTCTGACAGGCGTAGGTGCATGAGACACTCATGAACTCGGCTTCCATCCCTTCCCTCCTTCGTCAGTGCACCCTATTCATGTTGGCTGTGCCGTGTGTGTCTTTGGCTGATTGCAGAGGTGACAGCCCGCCAGACCACACAGACAGCAGCACGATTCGATGAGGACGACCTGACTTCGGAGGCCTCTCACGCCCTGACTGAGGGATGTGATGACGCTAGTTGGCGTGCCGTGAGAGGCAAGATGGACTGGATGGATGGACAGGGTGGACGGATGGTGGTATGATCGATATGATCGACAGATGGCGTGAAAGGACCCACCAACAGACAAGACAGACAGGCTGATGCCCACGACGGACGGACGGACTTGATCAATGCCATTGGTCCAATGCACTCATAGCTATCAACAACAGCGCGTCTGCAAGGGTCTGCCTGCGTGTCTGGCATCACCATGACTGACACCACCAACTAAACAAGGCAGTCGCGCGACAACCCACTAACCCACCCCTAAGCTACAGCGCCATTTTCGCTCCGTCAGGCTCCTCATCTATGTCTCTGTCGGTCAGTCACGTTTGAGGCCGTCGGTATAGGTGGCCTCGGTGATCCAGGGGTGGCTCAACGCCTCACCGGTCGTCATACTGACATCGACAGCACAGCGGCAGCAGCAGCGGCAGCGGAGCAGCCGAGGGGGGAGGGGGGAGGGGGGAGGCGGCACACACAAACACGTGTACGACAGCGGACAGCCATTGGTGTGTGTGAGCGCACCCACCGTTTGACGGGGTCTATCTGCAGGCACTTGTCGATGAAGTCGACGAACCGCTCGTCACTCGTCCGCAACACGTGCCGCAACGATGACTGCTTCGGGAAGTACACCTTGATACTACACCACACACACATCACACCACATGACATGACATGATGCGGCGGGCAGGTGTGTAGTGAGTGTATGTGTGCCGCCCCGCCCTGCAGTCGCTGACCGTTTGTCTGTGTTTTCGTTCATCTTGTCGTCGTAGAGGAAGCCGTCCTTGGTGATGTACGAGTTGGAGCTTTTGCCGCGGGCCGTCATGTAGAAGGGGATCGGCCCCAGCAGACCCACCATTCGCGCCATCATCGAAGGCACGCCCTCGTTGCGCAACAGCACCTCCCTGACACGTAACCACATGACACAGACAGACAGACAGACAGACAGACAAGAAGCTGTTCTGTGTCGTCTGTGTAACCAGGTCGTGTGTGTTGGCCGACGCACCCTGTCCAAAGCTCGGCTATGATGCATCCGAGGCTCCACACGTCCACCTTGCGGTCGTACGGACAGCCCAATATCACCTCAGGCGCACGATACGACCTGACAAGCACGCCCATTCACGACAGTCAGTATGTGTGTGCACGTGTGTAAGTTGATAGTCAGCAGTCGCCCTCCCCACCTACCGCGACTGCACGTAGCTCGACAGCGTGTCGTCTTCGTAGCATGACGACCCGAAGTCAATCACCTTCACCTGCACACGTCCATCCATCCATGGGTGTGCGGATGCGCTCGGCCTAAACATGTGCTCTGTGTGTGTGTGTGTGTGTGTCCATCATGATGTGTGGTTTTTGCTGACCCGGCAATGGCTGTATGACTTGAAGAGAATGTTCTCTGGCTTGAGGTCCGAGTGGATCAGCCGCAGCCCGTGCACAAAGTTCAGAGCCGTCAACACCTGATGCGCTATCTGCACGCACACACACATCCACACGTCTGCGCGTCCATCCATCCGTCCATCCGTCCATCCATCCATCCATGTGTGTGTGTGTGTGGGTGCGTGGCGGGCCTGCCTTTTGGCATCGTCCGAGGGTGAAGTAGTTCTTGCCTCGGTGCTGCTGCTGGAACTCATACAGATTCAACCTGGGGGGACACACAGCACAGCGCCACAACAAACCGGCAGGCACCACGTCACGCAGGGGTGTGGTGTGTGTGCAGGTGGTGTGGTGCCTTGCCCACTGACTGACTGACTTGAGCAGTTCGGTGACGATGATGAGGTGTTCTTTGTGGTAGAAGTAGTCGTACAGCTTGAGGCAGCACTTGCTGTCCACGTCACCGTTGCTGTTGATGTACCGCAGCAGCTTGATCTCGTCCAAACTCTGGTCGATGAAGTCCTTGTCGGGCTTGATCACCTTCAGACACACCTAACCAGCCACAATACACACACACAGAGGGAGGAGGGTGAGAGGGAGGGGGGGATCCATATGGTTTTGTCGGTGTAGCGTGGCAAATGCGGCCACCCTGCTGACCTGTCTCTTGGCGACCATATCCCAGGCTCCCATGGCGTGTGAGAAGGCAGCCTGTCCGACGTTCTCGTTGAATATCTGCCAAACCACAGCACACGTGACATGCACGTCACACTGACGGCTGTGTCTGCGGGTGTGTGTGTGGGTGCGTGGCTCGGCTCACAGACCTTGAACCTTGCGGCAATGACGAGGTTGTCAGGGATCTGGAAGTCCTTGCTGTCCTCGAAGCCAGTCTTGTGCCGGTTGAACACCACGCTGATCCACCAACGGGACGGATCGGCCCTGTGTTGTGTGTTTTGTATTGTGGTGATGGCTGCTTACGTACCGCAGTGGAAAGCTGTCATACGTGATGCCGTCATCGGTCTCGGGGTAGATGGGGTCCTGCCAGACAATGTCCAGACACACACACGGCAAGCAAGATAGATACGCACACAAAGCTTTGGGTAGGGGCAGCTAGGGCGTGCCAGTGATGGCGGGTATCTCGGTCTCTTCTGCCACGCGGGCGCCGCCAGCACATTGCCTCGCTCCCTCTCCTTCTCCTGCTTGAAGCCCTTGATGCTGCCGTCGGCATACGCGCACGCCCATTTGTTGGCCTTCACACGCCCATCCATCCACCCATCCATCCATCCACCCACTCAGCATGTCTGTGTCTGGATGTCGGTGTGTGGCGTTGTGTTGTGGTGTGCGCACGTCGATTCTGTTCTGCGCTTGTCTCTGTCTGAAGTCGGGGTAGGGCGGGCCGAAGTACTGGACCTTTCGATTCTCCTTCTCAACCAACATCACTGCACAAGGCACACAACCGGAGAGAGAGAGAGAGAGGAAATCCCGGTTGCCAATGTCTGTGACGTCATTACCAGCAGTTGCGCCTGGCGGGAACGGTGGCATGTCACCATCCTCCTCCTCCTCTCCCTCGCTACCTCCCGCGATCCTCCTGTACATCTCCTCCCGAGCCTGCATGTCCATCTCCTCCTGCCCAAGGCCACCAACCTCGCCATCATCTACGGCTACACCAGCACCAACACCAACACCCACCTCGCCCCGCAGGCCGCTCGCCACATTGCTGGTGGCGTCGAGCAGCACCTGCTCAACCTGCTCGGCCGACTCGGTCTCGTCCGGGATGTCGTCTATGGCTACCGGCACACACGCATCCATCATGGCATGGATGGGTGGATTCGTGTGTTTGTTTGTGGTCTCCGTTCTCATCGGTCGGTGCGTGGCGTGCGTACGAGGTTCGTCGTCATCGTCTTCGAGCAGCCCCTCTGACGAGGCCTGTGAGGGCTTCGCGGGCGCACTCGCCCAGTGGGGCAATTCGCTCACAACCGCAATCTCATCAAACACCCGACCAACACGAGCTGCATCTCACACGTTCATTCGTACATCGACGTGTCAGATGCATTGCATCCTCCCTCCCTCTTGTCCATGTGTTGTGTACCTACCACTAGCATCAGGCTGTCGGTCGTCCTCTCTCGACCTGCCCGCCCCAGAGCTGGAGGATGCGGCCGTGACGGTGATGCCGCCCGCATGGGTGGCCGTCATCGACGCCACGTGGGACGGCTGCATATCAGCCGACTCCGTCACATCGCCTGACACTGCCAGCCAGCCAGCCAGCCACACACATGTCACTGGCTGAGGTGACCCACTGACTCGCCCCAGTAACTAAGTAACGCACCTGTGGTAGCCCTGAGCAGTTCGTCCTCGTCTGTGTCGGACCCCCTGCCGTCGTCCAGGTCGATGACCGCTCGGTGCGGCTGCTTGGGCACCAGGAGGGGGCAAACGAACCTGTCGCCTACAGCCGCATTGGTGGGCGGCACGTCGATAACCGGGATGCGGGGGGGCTCCTGATGGCATGGCATGGAGACACACAAACAGAGAGAGAGGTGTGTAGGGGTGTGTGGTGTGGTTGGCAAGGTGGCAGGAAGGGGGAGGGGGAGTGTGACTTCTTTACGGCTTGGTATGGGTGGTCTTCTTTGGCAGCGATTTCGGCGAGCAGAGTTTCCTTGTCGACGTAGCGGCACGTCCACCCAGTATCCTGCATGCCATGCCATCACACACACAGACAGCCACACACACAGTGTGTGTATCTGCGGCACGAACGATCTATGTGTGGCTGGCTGTGTGCATGCTGCGCACCTCCTCTCCTTCCCACTCGTTGCTCGGGTCAGGTGCCCAGCCGTCGGGATACCCTGCACCACAGCACACGGCCACACACATCCATCACACAGATCACACAGACCACACGTATGTGCAGTGCAGTGCGACCACACACTCACCGAGTGGGTCGTAGTGTGCCGATGGCCCATGCATGGCGACAAGATCCTCATCGTCGGGCTGCGTGTCAGGCAGACCACAGGTGTGGAGCCAGACGTTGGTGTGAGTTGGTCTGTGTGTGTGCGCGTGTGTAGGCGTGACTGACCATTTCCGGCCGCACCCATGGTCCCAGTGAAGTCGGGGTGGAAGGCGTCAGGGGCTCGTTGTCACTCTCGTCATACTGAGCGGTGAAGGTTGCAACCACACCATACACAGCACACACAGACGGACGGACGAGTGTGCTGCTGAGTATCTTGTGTGTGTTGTGTTGGGTGGGGCGGGGGGCGGGTGCGTGCCTTGCTCCAGTATGTGTCGACCATGTGCCTCTCGACCCGCAGGGCGGCCATGTGCTCGCGCATCTGCTCGTGGAATGGGGTCGTCTGCCACACATCACATAACACAACACAACACACACCATTGATGTGGGTCTGTGGGTGCGGGTGAATGGCGTTAAGAACGGACCAGTGCGGGTACTTCTGACGGCTGGTGGGTCCACAGCTGGCCAAATGGGGGCTTCCTGGTCATCTGAACCACCACACGCACACCCACACCCACACCCACACCCAGAGGCAGATGGCAGTGTGTTCGTGTCATTGATTGTCGCTCACTTACACTGTTGGCACACTGGTAGAGCAGCTCGTCGGTGAGGTAATTAGTGCCCTGAAAGCCATCCGCATGCGCCATCACCAGCCGCAAGAGCCCATCCACCACCTTGCTGCACTCTGCACACACACAAATCACACCACAACAAGACCACACACACGACCGGAAGAAACCACGGTTCATCTGACTGATAGATCTGATCTGATCTGATGTGGCTCTACCGTACCCACCATCAATCTCGAGTGTGTGTGCGCCCGGGATGCCGCCCCAGTCAACCGACGCCGACAGAGTGCCGGGGATTCTACGCAACTGCGCACCACGAGCCAACAAACGGGACCGGACACAGTCTGACACACACAGACAGACACACCGACCAGCCCACGACGGATTGATTCACCACGCGCCTCTCCCTCCCTCCCTCCCTGACCTGTGAGTGTCGGGTTGCCCTGCTCATCTATGGGCACTGGCACAGGAATGTGGACCCTCCCTTGCGTGGCCTTCTTCCATTTGTCCCTCTCCTGCCGCCGCTCCCAATGCACCTGCCTCTCCAGCTCCATCACACGCTCCAGGGATGAGGGGTCCGACAAACCGCTGCTGGCCGCAGCAGCTGCGGCATCGGTGGTGGGTGTGGCCTGTGAGACCAGCGTGTGCGCGTAGAGGTGCTCGGCGAGTGTGTGGGCGGAGTCGGAGAGGGACGAGGGAGCCGTGATGTGCAGCTCTGAACACACACATACGCAAAACACGACGCCGATGAATGATGAGCGGTTTTAACGCCGGTTTACTCATCCGGCGTGCTTTTGTGTGTTGAAAGTGTGTTCGCTTACTCTTTCGGAGCGCCACGGCCGCCTCACCGAACCCCTGCTCATCGAGAAACGACGCCATGCTCTGTAGCACGTCGGCCGCACTCTTGTCTGCCGGCGCATTCGGCACCATGCCGTCAACAGCACCAGCACTACTCGCCATTGCGTCGAGATCTACAGCAGCCAGCTCCTATCAATGAATCATGCGAATGCCCGCAGCAGGGTTTACGGTCAAGAAACGGCTGGAAAGGGGAGGAACGGATTATTCGGTATTTGTGGAAGCGCACATAGAGTATCCTCACACAGTCCATTCAAGGTGCGGTCACACCAACATGCAGCATGCATCACCTTGGCTGGCCCGTCCGTCCGTCCGTCTGTCTGACTGTCACCAAAGGTGTGCTCTCTGAGCTTTGCTGTCTGTCCAGAGAGAGAGAGAGAGAGAGAGACAGAGAGGAGGCGATAAGCAGGGGACAGCAGCAGGGAGCGCAGGTCTAATGGCACACCAGCCCGCCCAAAGACGGGCAAATTGGCCGGCAAACAGACAAACATACAGACGAACAGACGCAGGCACGCCGCCTATGCATCCACCCATCCATCGACGAGGCAGCCACGCGGCATTCACACCAATGCACCCTCTCTCTATGCACACACACACACACAAAGCTATACAGACGCACACACAGACGGATGGGATGGGAGCGCTACGGAACGGTGCTGTTGTGTCACGACTGGCTCAACTCGACACACAGCCTGAACACACACACACACTCGTATTATAAGGGCGATGGATGCACTGCTCCGCCTCACCCTCTAAAAGATACGCCTTGCAATCACGTCAACCCACAGGACACAGGACGCCTGTGTCCTGATGATGAAGCTGGAGCCGATCATCGTGCGCGGGGGGAGCAGCTGCTGAACGGCGTCGCGAATGGCCCCGATGCCTTCCACATGCACCGACAAACACTCCAAGCCTCGCACGGCACCGACAACCGATGAGATGCCCTCGCGGATGGTCTCAGCTGCAGCAGAGGGATCCAGCTCATCGAGCATGAGCTCTGAGGAACACCACATACACACGGCGATGATGCACACGCAAGCTGAACCAACCTCCATGTGGGTGCGTACTCCTCAAGCGTATCTTCATGGTGCGAATCGAGGGGAAGCTGTCCGACGTCCAGTCGACGAAGGGGCCCTCACCGAGCTTGACCCCCTCCCCTGCATCGACGCTGACGGTGCCCACCTGCCTCCCCTTACCCAGCCCCTCCAACATGACCCGTCGGTCCTGTGCGCTCACAGCGCTCCCGAACTCCACCTTCCTCAACTCAGTGGGCATCTTCTGTGCCAACAGCCGACCCGCTTCACCGCCCAGCCGGCTGTCAATGCACAGCTCTGGGGAATCTGGGAGCTCTGGGGAATCTGGGAAGTGCTGCAGGTGGTTGATGATGGTGGGATGGGGCAATGGGGTGTCGGGAGGGGGGACGAAGCCAATGGCATTGCAGACCGACACGGAGCGCGCACCATCAAATGTGAGGCTCTCGGCGATGTCGATGGCGGCCTTACTGGGGCTGTCGACGGGGTGGGTGAGGTCATGCTCGCTGATGACGTAGGCCACGGTTGTCGTCTGCCGTGCGAGTTGTTGCATCATCGTCTTGAAGAGGGGCGAGGGGTTGGGGGGAAAGTCGTCGCTGTAGAAGAGCGACAGGTCGAAACTGGTGACACGTTGGGCCTCGAGGACGACTCGGGCGTCGGCTCGGCAGCACGTCTTGTGCAGCGACTCGAGGGACTGCACGACGGGAAGGACACTGCTGTCGAACCTGAAAAAGCTCATCGCCGCGCTCAGCTGAGTGAGCGACCGGCGGCAGCCACGCGACTCGAGTGCCACCTGCACACAGGAAGATCACACACATCCAAAATGACCTATATTGCACCGGCATCCATTGCTGGTTACGTACCTGCAGTCTGGCGATCGCTCCACGGGCCGCCTCAGGACTGTCGTGCAGCTCGATGGTGCCGATACTCTGCAGACGTGCAAGTGGCCCCCTCTGCCCAGCAGCGGCCTCAGGCATGCGCTCAAACACACCGGCCCAGCCATCATCCGACAGCCTCCCGCCGACGTGCTGCAGCGACAGTGACGAGCTGACGAAGCGGCACACCTTGTCCGCACCCCAGCCCTGCTGCTCCAGGCGCTTTAGTGACGGCACCCTCCACCCTCTGTCGGCCAGGACACCGTGCCCTCCGGCGGCTCCTATCACGGCCTTGAGCGACGGGAGAGAGAGGGTGGGGGGCTCGGCGAGGGGAGGGAGGGTGGGGGGCTTGGCGAGGGGATCAGGGAGAAGGGGACGCTGCCGCTGCTGGTCGCCCAGCTCCGCTTCACTCAGCTGCACCTTCTCGAATGCGATGGTCTCCAACCGGCTGGCGTCTGCCTGTCCATCGGGCCGGGCGGGCGGGGCGGCTGTGGTCTCAATGACGGAGACCAACACGTCACTGCACCACACGGGGTGGTTCTCAGGGTGGCAGAGGGTGATCTCGGTGAGGCCGGTGAGCCGTGCCGCTACGCGCTCGACGGAGAGGGGAGGGATGCGCTGCCAAAACACGCGGCCCTCGGTCTGCGAATGCCAGTACTGGTGGTCAGCTTTGGCTGCGCAGTCGATGAAGAGCCGTGTGTGGCTGATTGCCGCCTCTTCCCACAGCAGCTTGGAGCTCTTGGGCCGCCGCAGGGGGAGAGGGACGAGGATGTGGAGCGGCAGGAAGGGCATCACCAACATGAGCACCTGCACAACACACAGGGAGCGGCAGAGCGGTGAGTGTGTCTGTCTGTCTGTCTGTCTGTCACTCATCGCCTCTGGCCGGTCTCACCGTTTCTCCATCGGCCGCAGCTACACTGTCCTCCTCCTCCCCACCAGCACCACCAGCACCACCAGCACCAGCTGAGGCCGCCAAACCACGGCTCTGCCCCTGAGAAACCGGCAGCAACAGGCGATGGCACAATCACCCCTTTGAGCTGCCTGCTGCCTCACCTGTGTGCCCTCTCAGTCATGATTTCTATGCGATGATCGGCTAAGTCGTCTGAAACATCTCGCAAGCTACCAGCCACCTGCACCATCCACGCCATCCATCCATCCATCCATCCATCCATCGATCAGTGTGCGGTTACATACCTGTGGCACATGCAGCAGATTCCGGGCAGCAGTTGAGAATGGAACCTGCCCTTTGGCGCCACTCAACGCTGTCGAGAAAATCAGAGGCATCCAAATTTCATCGTTCGTCCATCTGCTTGGCGCACCGGCGAGAGATCATCTGCAAGATGCCAGCCTGGAAATCCACTCACGCTTTCGGAAAAAGGGCGAGCTCAGGGAAGGAAAGCTCGCAAGAGGCCGCAAAGGAGGAAAATGTCCGTGCTGCTCCCCCCCATCGCACCACAGCCGTTGACTGACTGCTACAGCCGAGTTTGTTGGCCAGATCAACTCATATTTCATCGAAGAGGCGGCCGCATCTCTCACAGCTCGAAGATCTGGAGGCGGCAAGGCGGCGGCACCCGACGACGACGACATCGCACGAGCAGTGAGGCGGCAGACAAGGGATGACTGGCTGGCAGCGGCTCGTCGAGAAGAGGGAGAGATCCCGGATCCCTCCTGGGCGTCGCGGCTGCAGCCATTGCAGGTGACTGAGTCGATGGAGGGAGGGAGGGGCCTCTCCTTTCCCATGCCTGTGTAAGGCTGGCTGTGTGTGTGTGGTGTCCATTAGCTCAGTGTCCGGGGCTCACACGAAGGCGGGCGGGCGGGCTTGTGGCGGTGGTCTTGTGGTGATATGAACTTGAAGCTGCTCAGATATATCCACGCGCTCGTCCGTGTACCGTGGCGGTGAAGGGGTGTTCGCGAAGGAGGCCGACAACGAATCGAAGGCCTATCTGATCGATCGACTCTATTAGATATGCTTTCGACTTCTTCCTTGGCGAGCACCTTGACCGCAACCACGGGAGGGGACCGCATAGGAGTGTGCGTGTGTTGGGGAGCGATACACGACTTGCCTGGCTGTTCTTCTGTGTTGTCGATAGGTGTTAGTGGTGAGAGAGAGATGGGTGGTTGATGGGGCTCCTCGCCTGTCAGAGACCTTCAACAAATCGACGGCATGTCTGGACGGTCCAGATACGCCTCCGATTTTGTGTTGGTGACTGCCATGTGACGACCCTCACCCCCCCGGGAGTCGGTGTTGTGTGTATGGTCGTGTGTGGAAGGGTATCTTCCGGGGGGATGTCTGTCCGCCAATGAGTGTGCGTACTTCTTCTTCACGAACAGCTGGACAAAGCCCCCGCCGGAAATGGGGCGGCGGCTTCGTGCAGCTGTTCGTGCGGAAGAAGTACGCTGCTGTGCATTGGCCATGGGATGTGTCAGACAGAGTGAGTGTTTTTGTCGTTGTCGCTACGTGGTCCATGCATTGCGTGTTTGCTTGTAGCGGAATTACTTAAACAAATGAATGAAGTAACTGGTCAGGGTGGTGGGTCTCCCTCCCTCGTCTACTGACCCCTCTCTCACAAAACACCCACATACGCCATAGAGCGACACGACTTGACCCGTGTGTGAGTGCGTGAATGAATGCACCATACACGGCCGCACAAACGAACGACTCACCCACCTATAGCTAGGCAGCAACGCCACAAAGCACCAGTCCTCGCATCGCAAGCCAAATGGATGGATGGAACAGAGCAAAGGCGGCACGGCACGCACCAGGGAGGAAAACACCAAACACCAAATGATGTGATTGATGTACACGGCCCACGCAACACGCAGCCGAAGAAATGGGGGATGGCCTCTCACACGCAACGCAACGCAACGCGAGCCGCATACGCCCAGCCATGTCATTCATGATATACACCTGACCTGGCACACGCAACGCTGCAAGGTAAGGTAAGGTAAGGTAAGCGAGAACCAACACAACACAGCAAATGGTGGCAGTGAAGCACAGAAAGAGCAAAGCACACACTACCTGACACCCACCATCCCACCCACCCCCACGCGCCCGCCCCCTGTACCTGTGGCGAGGAGGCCCCCTTTGGTGCCTCCTCGCCCGTGTGTGTGTGTCTGTGTGTGTGTGTGTGTCTGTGTGTGTGTGTCTCCACGCCACTGTCGCTGTCACTCACGCACCCCACCCACACCAGCAACCCATCAATCAGCCAATAAACAACCGCGCCCGGTCATTCGTCAGGGTGCCACTGCTGCCGCTGCTGGTCCGGGTGTTTCGGCAAGGGCGGTCTCGACGGCCGTGGGGAAGAGCTTCTCAACCTGACGTAACACACGGTGCAGACAGACACGGAGGGAGCCGATGGGCTGGCTACCTCACTGCTCTGGGTGTGTGTTGGTGAGGGCTGAGGTGTGTGCCTAGGCACCTTTCTGAGCGTTTCGTTTTGCGACTTGGTGACGCACTCGATGACCGCTGACACCACCTGGAACCACTTGGCAGCCTGGATGGAAGACACACAGACACGGACGGGTACCAGCCATTCATGGTGCGTATAATGGTGTGGTGTGGTGTGGCGCGCAACTCACCCTGACTTTGCCCTGCACTTTCCACAGTGCGTCCTCCACCCGCTCCAGCTTGTCCAAAGCCTTGACCTCGGCAAACGACGTGCCGCGCAGTGACGCTATCAGGAAACGACGCGCACCGACCATCTCTGACAACACATACATAACCCGACACACAGACACTCGCGGTGGGGATGGGATGGCTGGGCGGTGTTTGTTGCCACGATACCGACCTGCAAACACCCGCGCGGCGTCCCAGTCTCTCTTGAGTGACGCCTTGGAGCCCATCGCACACACGAAGCCACGCTCGCGGCCCAGCTACGCCCACACACGGAGAGAGAGAGGGGCATGCAGTAGAGCCCCCCCACACACAGGGGGGTCTTGGTATGTGTGTGTGTGTGTACCTGCTCCTTGAGCAGGCACAGGAGTCTGTAGTCCTCAGCCTCGACGGTCATGGGCGCCAGCAGCTGGGATATCACGCCGATGCACCAGGCAGTCGCAGCCAAGATCACTTTACCATAGAACCCTGCACACAGCACACAGATGCACTCTGGACTGACGTGGCAGTGTGTGGGAAGTGACTGACCGGCCGTGGCGGCGAATCGTCCGGCCCAGGTGATGTCGGTTTGGTGTTCGGTGATCTGCTGGCGCATCAGATCCACGGCTTGCCGGTGTGCCCGGAGGTCTGCCATGAGCTCCGGCAGATACGACACCCAGCAGTCGCACTGCTCCTCACCCTACACACACACACATACACACACACACACACGACAGAACCAGAGATTTCCTTTGCGAGAGAGAGAGAAGGTATATAGCCCACTCACTTGGTCTTCATCCTCTTCTTCATCCTCCTCTTCATCCTCCTCCCCAGAGGCTCTCCGCCTCTTGTGTGCGTCACCAGCGCCCGTGTCGAAGATGCTCTCGTCGCTCTCCGTGTAGACGCTCGTCGCCGCCATCGACGCCAGCGAACCAGGCTGCTCGTGCTCAGCCAGCCCCGTCAGCTTGAACTTGGGCGACTTGGGCGACTCAGCCGCCGAGGCACCAGAGGCCTCTTGCTGTGTGTGTCCCTCCTTGTCGCCGGCAGCCTTCTCGCCGGCGGCCTCTCGTCTGCGTTTCTCCCTGGCGGCCTCCATCTGCTGGTACATCTCCTTCTCGTGCAAAGTCTCGCCGATGCGACGGATAAAACCGTCCTAAGACAATGACACACACACACACACAGAGCGAGAGAGAGATGTGTGTATGTGTTGAGAGTTGGTGGGAGAGGGGGGAGGGGGTCGCTCACTGCTCGTCCACGGGGTGAAGCCGCCTGGGTCTTGCGTGGCGATGCTAGGCGTGAAGGCTGTTTGGTCTGGGGCGACGCGGCAAGTGAATGTGTGGGGGGCGGCTTCTTCTTGGTGTGGAAGTGGGGGAGGATGCACGAGGACAGCGCCTCGTCCATCTTGGTCAGCCACGCGTCCAGCACTGCACGCTCCTTGCTCAACTCCTGCAGACACACAGACAGACAGACAGACAGAAGTGTGTGTGTGTGTGTGTGTCGATGCGTGTGTGTGGGGGATGCCTCGACGGACCTTCAACGAGTCCTCGTCGCCTCTATCCGTCACCACAACACACGACCTACACACACACACACACAGGCGAGTGACCCCCATGCACACCCAGACACACAGGCGTACCAATCTCTCTCTCTCTGGAGCTGCTCGACAACGTCCTGCACAGCCCTGAGGGCGTTGAGCTGTGAACCGAGTGTTGCGGCGTCCTGCCGCTCCAGCCCAGAGGTCAGACACATGTCGTCCAGCCTGCCGTCGCGACCAGCATCCACCAGCACACCTGATGACACACAGACAGACAGACAGACAGACACACAGAGAGAGGGGTGTGTCTGCTTTGGGGTGTGTGCAGGGGTGGTGTGCGACCCTGCCTTCGATCATTGCGCCGAAGAGGACGTCCATCTGTGAGATGCGAGAAGACTGTTTCTGCACACACACACACACGCACACACACACGTCGTTGCGAAGAGACCACACGTGTGTGCCGAGTACTGACTGACCGGTGAGGAAGCGGATTCAATCGCTTTGCTGTGCAGTGGCGAGTTGAAGGCGGAGGATGCCTGTGAAGTGATGGACGAGCTGCGGTGCGAGCCGCTGCTGCCACCGGCACTCGGCGAAAACACCACCTGGTTGGCAGCCGGACTCATCGTCGGCGAATTCGCTGCAACCACAACACACACACACAGGGTGGGGGGCTAGGTGCAGTGGTGTGTGGCGTGTACCGAGGTTGAGGACGCCGTTGATGAACTCATTGTACTCGACCTCCCCGTCCCACGTCTTGTCGGCAATGTTGAACAAAGTGTCCAGCTGACCCGACGACAGCTGCATGACATGAGCCCACACACACCAATCACACCACACACAGAAGAACGAGATGGTGCCCATGTGTGTGTGTACGTGTGTGTTTGCGCACCTTAGGGAAGAACAGGTGCATGACGGTTCGGAAGAAGCTCTTGTTGACGTAGCCCTTCTGATCGGGGTCGAACGCGCGAAACGCGTCACAGATGCGCTTCTTCAACCCCCTGAGCTCGTCAAGACACACACCACCACGCGCAGAGAGACATTCGGATTCGGGTCATCTCTTTCTCTGCGAGTCTGTGAGATCTCTGTGTTACTTACTCGTCGACCCATGTGAAGAGCTCCCTCGCCCAGTGCTCGGCTGCCACGGCCGCCTCGCGACGCTTGCCGCCCTCGCTCTCAATCTGGGCCTGTTGGTGTGGGTAGGTCACACACACACACACACAGACAGAGAGAGAGAGAGAGAGGTGGTGGTGGGTGCATTGCCACGCGCGCTGATTGGATGGATGGATGGACTCACAATGAGTTCGTCGACGGCTACGAAGCCCGGGCGGCCCTGGTCGAGGCGGTTGAACAAGAGCTCACACTCCTACGCTCACACACGCAGGCACAACACACGACACACATAACACTTTCCTCTTTGTCTGTGTGTGCAGCCCGCCCACCTCATTGGAAATCTCCAGGTTGTGTGCCTTGACGGCCTCCTTCAGGTCGTCCAGGGACACCAGCGGACTATTGCTCGACGAACGCAACTCGCCCTCGTGGTGAGACAACGACAGACGGCCCACACCTGACACACAACACACAACACACATCACGCCACACACGCACACATAAACCCCTGTGGGCCCTGTCCTCGTGTCCATGCGTGTGAGTGTGGTGTTGTGAAGAATACCGCCGATGGTGACGGCCCGCTTCCTCGCCCTATTGCCAGTGGGTGTGGACTTGGCTGTGTCGGACTGCATCCCTGCTGCGTGGCCATGCTCATTCTCGCGCTGGCGGCCGCTCTCCTCCTTGTCGACATCTTCGTCTTCGTGATGGTCCTCTTCGTCTCCCTCTGTGATGGTCTGGATGCCGTGCAGCAGATGGGCGGGATCCGCCATGCCTGATCCATCCATCCATCCATGTGTGTGTGGGGGCTGGTGGGGGGAGGGGTGGGGGAAGTGGATATATGTGGCGTACGTCGCTGGTCGTCCTCGTCAGTGACCATCATGGACGGGCGGTAGTCCGGCTGGGAGGCGTCGAAGCGGACGAAGAGGGTCTCCATCCGCAGCTTCTGGCTGCGGATTTTGCGGCGCATCCGGGCGAGCACCAGACCCAGGTACTCGTCAGGCATCCGAATCACTCTGAGGGAGGGAGGGAGGGAGTGGGCGAGAAACTTCCGCCTGACAGTCAGGTCTGTGTGGTGTGGGTGCTTACCGTGATCGCCGGTATACGAGCGAAGGTGAGAGCAGCGAGGGGCTCCGCGGCGATGCGGCAGAGGGACTCACGCCACCGTCGTCAAAATCTGCCATTCCCACACCATGCAGCAGCCATGTGTGAGTTGTGTGTGCTGTCTGCTCGTGCCTCCCTCCCTCCCTCCCTCCCTCCCTCCCTCAGCCACCTGTAGTAACGCCGCTCGTCCAGAGGCTCTTGCTCCTGGGCGGCAGAAGCGTGTCCGGCATGTTCTGCTGGCCCGGCTTGCCGCCAGGCGGCGACATTGTGCTGCCCCGCTGGGAGGCGCGCGCCTTCTCGACATCGCCCGCTGCCGACACAACCGATTGCACTGACGCACACACACATGAGCACACACAGGGGTGAGAGGATGGCGGGAGGGGGTCGGGTGCAAGGCACCTACCTAGGTGGAGGTTTGAGACTCTTCTAACGACCGAGAAGAAGTGTTTGAGGAACTGGTCGAAGATGATGTCGCCGTGGGAGTCCTTGTCGGCGATCCATACGATCTTCTCCAACTCGGGCTTGCCCAGCTTCGGCAACGCCTTCTCCAAGATGCACCTAACACAAAGGCATCCCTCTCTCTCTCTCTCTCTGTTGGTGCTGGGGGGAGGGGGTACCTGAAGTCAGATTCCTTGACCCAGCCCTGCTCGAAGCTGTCCAGCTTGTGGCACTCCTCCCGTATGGTGGCGCCGGCCTGCTCGATGGCGAACCGAGAAAGGTTGTTCAAACACAGCTGACACACAGACGCACACAAAGATGGATGGGCATCTGGGTGTGCGGACGCTGTGGCTCGTTCGTTCGTCGAGTGCACCAACCTCTTGGAGAGAGAGAGAGCCCCACGGGAGGGAGTCGGTCAGGGCGTCACGGATCTGACGCACCACCAGGTCTGCATGCGACAGACCCTGCGCGCACACACACAGACACACACAGAAAGGGTCCAAAGAGGCTATAGAGATGGTTGGCTGGTGGTTACAAGCTTACAGACAAACATAAACATACCCACCTGGACTCTTCGGTAGATCATCTTGATCTCCTTGTCCGAGAGGCCCAGGTTGGGCACACGATTGGACAGGTTGAACACAAACTCGCTCAGGCTGATCGGCTGCTTCAGCCACTGGTCGTTCTGCAACCACACCACACACAATCCACCACACACACACACCCGTCCGCCCTATTATGTGTGTGTGGATGTGCACCTTAAGCGTACCTGAGCCCCCTCCTCGTCTCTCTTGATATTGAAGTATTCAGCCGGTGCTGTGGGTGGGGGCGACACGGCCCCCCCACTGCTGACGTCCCCCGCCTGTGGGTTGGCCTCCTTGGACCCGCCGCCCTTCTCTCTCTCTCTCCCTGTGTGGTCTTCACCATCCTACAAGCCACACACACCACACACACACCTTCGGGCATCCGTGGACGAAGTGGGTGGAGAGAGGGGGAAAGGTCACTGACGTGTTGGTCGTCAGAGTCTGCTGGCGAGTTGGGTCCGCGGGGGATGGTCAGAGAAATGGGGTCGATCTTGACGGCTGAACCGGTGCGCACCTGCACACACACACACACGGAGGGAGATGGAGAGAATGGAGATAATGGGACTTTTGGCATGGATGGATGGGCAGATGGCTGGGCGCACCGGTTGAGGGCCAGCCTGGTCTTCGCCCTCAGACCGCTCGTCGTAGAAGAATTCCACCCGCCGCTTGGGATGCTGCACAGACACACGCACGTCTATCATGTGCTGCAGCTGTGTGTGTGTGTGTGTGCGTGTGTGTAAGGCGTGTGTGTGTGTTCATGCCTGTAGTGCCTGTGGCTCTTCGTCGATGCGCGAGACCTTCCTCGTCCAGCTGCCCGGCATGGGGCTCTTCATCGGGATCACCTGGGATAATGTCATACCCTACACACACACACACACACAGATGTGTAACGAGGAAGACATACGAGAAAGCCATGGGTACCTACCTGCGCTTCGATTTTGAATTTGAGTTTGGTGATGAGGAACTTGAACTGCTCCTCCGGCAGCTGCGGCGTGATGGACAGCCGCCGGTTGCGGAAGGTCGGCGAGTTGTAGATGGTCGCCTCCTGCGGCAAAAACGCCTGACATGACAACCAGATGCCGAATGCCATCCGTCCATCCACCACACCACATATTAGGCATTGTCAACCGCATGTGTGTCTGTGTCTGTGTCTTTGTGTACCTGGAACGATTCGTCGAGGAGAATGGACGAGAGTGTGGGCCGCATCGAGGGGTCCTTGGCAAGCAGACGGCTGACACAACACACCGCACCACGCCCAGAACCCATCACCGTCCGTCTGTCAACGCTCTCTCTTTGGTTCTGACCGGACGAGCTCCTGCAGGTACGGCGAGTAGCTAGACGGGATGGGCTCGAACTTCTCAAACACTATCTTGGACACCAAACCCAACAAAGAGTCCGAAAAGAACGCATAACGCAACGAACACAACTGCACACCACAAACACACACATGAGAGATGCCGACACATGCGCCATGATGCTGCTGCTGCTGAAGGACCGGCTCACCTCGTAGAGCACACAACCGAGCGCCCATATGTCAGACTTGAACGTGTAAGGCTTATTCTCGCACATCTCGGGGCTCATGTACTGTGGCGTGCCGACGATGGTGCGGTTCTTGGTGGCCACGGTCTCCACCAAGACCTTGGAGATGCCGAAATCACCGATCTTCACAGTGCCCTCTCTAATACACCCACACCCACACACACACACACACACACGCCATGCTGGACAGATGCCTGGGTGTGTGTGTGTGTGTGGGTGTTTACCTGGTGAGGAAGATGTTTCGCGTCTTGAGGTCTCTGTGGAGTATCTTCTGGCTGTGGATGTAGTTGAGCCCCAACACCAGCTGCCCGAACCACTTCATGATCTGCTCCTCTGTCGCACACAACACACACACAATACAGTCGATGACACATGCACGCGTGTGCGGGTGCAGAGGTGTGTGTGTGGGTGGATGAACGGCTCACTCACCAGGGAAGAGATCGGGGTTCCGCGATCTGCTTCTCTGTTCGATTTGGTCGTAGAGGTCGCCGTCCTCGCAGTACTCCATTATGATCACCAGCTTAGAGTGCATCATGAACGACTCACGGTTGCTGCACCCACCCCACCACAGCACATACACGCCAACACATGGCCCCATGAGTATCCCTCTCCTCCATCCATCCCTCTCTCCACTTACCGCACGACGTAGGGGTTATCGAGCTTCTTGAGCAGCTCGGCCTCCTGCATCGCCGCCTGACGGTCCCGCGCATCCAACGAACCCACATCAATCACCTGCACCCGTCCATCCCATCACACGAACAAACCAACAATAACGGCACAATGAACGCCTCTCAACACAGAGAGAGAGAGAGAGAGTCCATCAGCTCACCTTAGCGAGCCAGTATGATTCGGGGTCATCGATTTCGCTCACGAGGTGTGCCGCCCCGAACTGTCCGCTACCCACCGGCCGCTGGTGCAGGTAACCGAACGGCGTGAAGTCCAGCTCCACATTTCGCGCGGGAAGCGCCAGGCTCAACATTGCCACCAATCACCCACCAATATATGGCTTGAACACACAGACGGGGCAGAGGCGGGTGCTTCGAAGGGACCAGGTGGCGCGTCAGGGAGAGGTTGATGCGGTTCTGATGGCCCTATGGACGTCAAATCAGGGGCCGGATGAATGTTGACGCATTACAGGGATAGGGGAACGCGATGGCAGCTGAGAATCACTGGGAACGGTCCAGTGGACGCTGTATGTTGCCAGCGACGTAACCGAAGGGAGAAACGTATGCGAGCTCAGCTGCGAGCTTGGAATGACTGATCTGCGCACTGAAGAGGGGAAGGCAAGGCCCACCAACGCTCCCGTCCGAGCTCGCAGATCCCAAGGCAGATCTCGAGGCATCCTCAGCCTTGTTTTCTTTTGGCTGAGGATGCCATCGGCTTCCCCTCCCTCTGGGGGATGTTGGTCCTCGTCCGGTCCTCGTCCGTGCCCATTTGGCTGTGGTTGGCGTCTCCGACCTTTCCTCGTGATGCTGCCCGCCGCAGCTCATCATATCGCTCAGCCTTATTGGCTCGTCCTCTGGCGTCCTTCTCGCCCCCCCAGCACGCTCTCCCACATCCCCCCGAGCCTCAATTGGGTCTTCATCGTGAAGATCTGCTTGACGACGCCGTCTCAGCGGACCGACGTGACGAGAACTGCACTTGCTCCTGCCTGGGACATGCGGCTTCCCCCCCGTCCCCGTTCGTCAGAGTGTGCGAAACCGCTGGTGTTGCCGTGGTGAAGCTGCAATGATGCTTGCGTAGGGATGGGAGGGCATCTGCTTCATTGCATGGTTTGCTTGTTGCACTGGCACTGTGATCATGATGTGCTCTGTGTGGTGTGGGCGGAGGCGGTCTGTCATGTCTTGTCATTTGGATGATCTCTCTGCCTGAGGTAGCCTATCACGTGAGGTCGCACGCCGCCATGTCTTTTCTTTTGCGTGCATATGATTACGCGTGTGGTTATACTTCGGCATGCCTCTATGCATTGAGACCAGACTCCTGTCATTCATGGTGCTGCCTCTGTCCGTCTGTATGTGGGACCCTTCTTGCCTCTGTCTGTCTAGCTTGCTTCCCCCGCCTTCCCCCTATCTTTCATGTCCTCGTGCTCATCGTCTTCGTTTGAGTGCTTGGTGGTGAGGGTGAAGCAGCTGGTGATGTCTTGTCATTGGTGTGGTCTCTTCTCTGCGGTAGCCTATCACGTGTCGTTGCCCGCCATGTCTTTTCTTTTGCGTGTGCATGGTTGCGCGTGTGGTTAGACTTCGGCGTGCCTCTCTGTTGCGACCATACTCATGCCATTTTAGCCAGTGCCGCATGTCTGTGTGTTTGTTCATTACCGCGGCGGGGCTCTCCCCTCTAGCTGCCTTCTGTCTTCCTCTGCCAGCCCAGCCAGGACTTCCTGTGCATGTGCCTGCTTAGTGCCTATCGACTTAGATCACACCGTGCTGCCCACTGATCCAATACACGTCGTCTTCCCCTGTCTGACTGTCTGGCAAGAATGGATTGAGCGCAAGCCACTCAGTGCGTGTGAAGGGATGGAGTGCACCTTAGGTATCGTCTATCATATGTTGCAGGGCCTCATGGCCTGCCTGGCTATTCCCTTCTCTCTCCCTCTGCTCTCTTCCTGTCTTCCTTCCTTATGGGTCCCGTGTGGATATGGTGGTGTATTCATGTGATTGGCTGATTGTTGCTTTGGTGGCTCAGAGGGCGCTCATTTTTCTACTTCCCCCTTCTGGCTTCTGTACACTTGCCATGGCTCTTGCTGGGCGACAGCGCCCGTTCTTGTGTATGTAGCCGGAATCGGTGTTTGTCAACGTTCTACAAGGCAGCCAGTGCTCTCTGCTGCCATCTGTTTGTCCGCCGGTGCCAGTGCAGGGAGGGGTAGACAGGCCGTGTGCATGCTTTGCATGTACATGCTGCTAGTTTAGTGCGTGAGACAACAGGATCCCTCCTGGGTTACAGACACGACTCTCGTTAAACACACTAACCAACCAACCAACTGCGGCAGATGTGCCTCCTTGACGACAAGTTTCCGGCATGAGTGAGTTCAAGAAAGCGACCGAAGCCTTCAGACGTAAGCCGCATCACTTCTCGTGTATCCATCTCGGCATCCACCCTCTCTCCCTGCCTGCCTGTGTGCCATCAGAGCTTCAGGAGGCGCACACCAGCGGCAGCACGACTCTGTCTGCGGCCGACATCTACGGTGCGCTGCTGACCCTGCAGCCGTCGGCGGAGAAGTTCCAGGCCAAGCTCACGCTCTCGGTGAGTGAGTGCGGCAGGGGCAGACAAGGAGGGGCATGCAACCACAAACACACGTCCCCACGTGTGTGTTGATGGATGTGTGTGGGGCGATGGGTGCAGCTGGCTGATCCCGACAAGGCGACCTATGGCCCTTCCATGTGCGGCCACGTGCAGGCCTTCCTGGAGGAGTACTCGACACTCAAGAGGTCGGTGAGGTGTGCACATGCACAGACTCAACACGCATTCCCACCTCCTCCTGCCCTTCACTTTGTGTGTGTTTCGTTCAGTGCTCTCGAGAGCCAAGGGCCGTTCTCGTCTGCGACGCCACCTCCCGCCCCTGCTGCTGCTCCCACACCATCTGGCCCCTCTCGCCCGTCACCTCCACCCAAGAGCCATCCACCTGTTCGCCCTTCACCTGCAGCTGCCGTTGCTGCCGTGTCCCGCTTACGCCACAGTGTCCCCAGCACTCTCCCCAATGCCAGCAACAACAGCTCACGAAAGATGGACACCAGCACGCCCAAGTCGCTCGCCATCGCCGTGCACCGGCTGCTCAAGAGAGGGCTCAACAACAGCAAAGAGACAGACGAGGAGAGGGCGGTGTTCAACGCCATCGATGGTGGGAGCGTGGTCGACGTGACTGTGGGTGGTGGGGGTGGGGGTGGGGTGAGTGAGATACGAGTGCGTTATGTGGGCGTCGGGGGGTATGTGGTGGTGTATGGGGAGGGAGAGAACGGCAAGAGGGGCAAGTGCGAGGTCAGGGTGGGCGCCTCGGACGCCACGGTCGAAAACAGGTACGTGGAGAGGTGGTCAGCTTCTCTATGTGTGTGTGCCACATGCCGTCTTTGGTCCTTTTCGGTGTGTGGCAGGGTTGTGTATTACTTGGTTCATCCCCTACTCGGCCATCGCGGGCCAATGACATTCGGTCAGTGAGGGAGAGAGAGAGGGATGGGTGGCGATCTGCGCACTGCCCATCTGCTGTGTGTCAGTTGAGGTGCCGTCAGAGGTGCTCCTGCAGATCTTCTACCTACTCGTGAGCACAACACACACACACACACACACACAAACCCACACGGCTCTCTGTCTCTCTGTCTGTGTGTGTCCGTCAGGAGTTTCCGTGTCTGTCGCGTCTGTTCACGACGACCAGCACGTTGTGGCGAGAGGTGCACTGCGAGCCTCCATCCAGTGACCACCACCCACACCTCCCGCCATGCGAGCAGCTCTGGAAACACATCTACACGCACCTCAGAAGGTACGCACACACACGCAGATGCCATTGATCCAGTGATGCGCTCTGTCGGACTCGTTTGTCTGTCCGTGTGTGTGTCAGGTATTGTGTGTCGTTGCGTGAGATCGGCACGCCCAGTGCGACCAACATCGAGGCCCTGACGCAGCAGTACCAGCAGCAGCAGCTGCAGGACGCCGCCCAGCCAGCAAGGGCATCGGCATCGGCATCGTCGTCGTTGTCTGCTCCTGCTGCTGCTGCTGCATTGGAGGGATCGCCGCGAAGGCCACAACTCGTCTACTGGAAGGTAGGCGGTGGAGTGGATGGATTGACGAGCTAGCTCATGGCTGCGTGTGTGTGGTCAATGTCAGCGTGCGTGTCGGCGTCGCGTCATCGAGGAGATGGACAGGCTCGAGCAGCAGAGACAGATGCAGGTGGGTGAGCAAGCAACAACCAAGCAACTAACCAGTCGACACACGCGCTTCGTGTGCCTGTATCTCTTGATTCAGCGCATGTTGGCCACCATGCCCCGGCCCCCTATGGCTCCCACTCGGCCGCTGCCGCCGTTTCCATTCCCACCATTCCCACCGAGGTAGGTTCCTTACCGCACCTGACCCATCCGACCGTCCATCCATCCATCCACATGGTCACCTTTGCTGTCTGTGTGCAGGCGCCCTTCTGACGACCGCAGCCCTTTCGGCCCTTTCAACCCATTTGGGGGCGGCGGGCCGCCTGGCCGATACATGTGAGGGCTGCTCATGGTGGTGGCGGTGGTGGTGCTGATGGCGCTTGAGTTGGCGTGGTTGGTCCTTGGCTCGATTCTCGTCTGCTAGCTACTCAAGTGGCCGCGTACACACAGGCGCAGGCAGCGACACTGGCGCACACACAGGTGTGGCACAGTGTCGCTGCCTGCGCCTGTGTGCGTGAGTCACACGGGATGGGGAATGAGATGAGGTATCAGTGCTGCCTTGCTTGTTGGTGCTGTTCTCTTCCATGACACAGACAGTCGACGGAGGGGAAAGCGAGAGAGTCGGGCTTTCATGTACGTGTTCATGAGGACCACTGATGGATTTATGGATGGATATTATGCATACACACATCTCTGTGTCGATCTCGTCCCTCCCGTCCCGTCCCGTCCCGCCCCGCCCCGTCCCGTCCAATCCGCCCTCTAGTCCCATCCTGCCTGCACGTGAACACATGAATGAAGGAAGAGGTGGCTGCCCCTGCAGCCTTGTTGAGCTCACAACACTTGAATGACCGACCATCCACACGTACACCCACACGCCCACACGCCTCACTCCCATTATGTGCACACGAGCATTAGAAAAGAAAGGCCGCACATTACATATGCACACTCCCGCACTACGCATCTGTCTGTCTGTCTGTGTCGGTCTGTCACCGGGGTGGGCCCTCTGCGCCGTTCTGCCTGAGAGAGGGAGAGAGGGAGAGAGAGGGAGAGAGACAGAGAGAGAAGGTCGGTAGAGGAAAGAGGCGATAAGGCAAGGGGGGCAGGAGCAGGGAACGGGCAGGTCTAATGGCTCACACTTGCCCGCCCGCCCAAATTTGGGCGGGCAAAATGGCCGGTGAACAGACAGACACACAGACGAACAGACAGACAGGCACACAGACGCTGGCTGGGAAGGAGGCACACCGCATACATATGCATCCAGTCATGGAGTCAGTCGCGTTGTTGGTCTCTCCCTCTCCCTCTCTCCAGTCTCAGCCAACCACAAACAGAAAGAGAGAAAGAGAGAGAGATAGCAACAGGGAGAGAGAGAGAGAGAGGAAGAAACGGCACACACACACATGAAATGACACTCACTCGTCGGCACACACACACATGAATGACAATCAATCTATGCTGCCTTGCATTAGCCCGCCTTAGCCTGGCTGGCCCCACCCACCTAGCTGATTGATGGGGCTCATGCGTGCGAATGAATACATCTGTTCAAACAGCCAGACAGGCTGGCTTGGCTTGGCTACCTCCCCTCCCCACCTCCCCCCTACCCGCCCTCCCTCGGCTGGTGTGAATGAAGGAGGAGAGCCTAGCCTGCCTATCTGAGTGTCTGTCTGTCTGATCGATCAAACCACACCACACCACGCAGTGACCCCTTGTCTGTCTATCTTGCCGGTCAGTCAGTCAGTCAGTGAGTTTATCTGCAGCCAGCGTATGTATGTGTATGTGTGTACGTATCCCTCCCTCCATATACGTACGTCTCTCTTACACACACGCACACCTTCTCTGGTCGTGGTGTATCCTGGTCACCGCCGGAATGGCTGCGGCTGCTGTCTCTGCTGCTGCTGCTGTGGGCGCCCAGGCTGGTGCTGCTGCCGCTGCTGGTGCTGCTGCCGCTGCTGGTGCTGCTGCAGTGTGGGCCCTGCGCGCCTCAGCAGTTGCTGCTGTGGGGGTCCTGCGCCCCTCTGCTGCTGCTGCGTGGGCGCCCTGGGTGCAGAGGCCTTGGGTGCGGGCGTAGGGGTGGCTCTGGTGGGCCTGATCTCATCATTGTCTCTCGCGATCCTGAGCCAGTGGAGGGCTCCCTGCTTGCCGGGGAGGCTGGCCTGTTGTCTGATGAAGCTGATGCACAGCTCATGCAGCGCCTCGTCCTCCGCCGAACGTGGCGCCTTCTCCTTCGTCGCACGCTAAAACACCTCACGGAGCACCTGCACACACACACACACACACGTGTACCCAATAAATACACATATGGCATGGAGACACCGACTGACCGCGTTGGGGGTCAGCCTCTGGGCGATGCCTGCGAGGGCGTTGAATAGCGGCCGGTCGCTCACGAGTGGCCCGTACTCCTTCTCCACGTGGTTGATCTCCTGGTCCACCTTCTTCTGGATGTAGTCGTCAGGAATGTCAGGGCGCTTGGTAAAGTCGTCATCCAAATGCAACTTCAACAGATTATTCTGACGGATCACATGCACACACAGAGTCGAGAAGTCGTCGCGTCACGAACACACACATGTGCGTACCAAATCGAAGCGAAAGCGGTCTATCTGATCGAGGTCGTGGCGACGGAAGTGTGTCCAGGCGAGTGAGTCGAGCAGGGTGGCGCCAAGCGCCCAGCCATCGACCTTCGCGAACCGCAGTCCGCGAGGGCCGAACCGCTCCTCGGGCGCCAGCATGCCTTGCGTGCCGTACACGGTGGGGTTCTTCCTGCATGACATCAGAGGGAGAGGGAGAGGGAGAGGGAATGGATGTGTGTCTGTCTGTCTGTCTGTCTGCGTGTGTGTGTGCAGCGTCGCATACTTCAATTCGTCGCACTTTGCTGCCCCGTAGTCGATGAGGATGGAGCCGACCGCCCGCGGGTAGGTCACCGGGCGACCCGCCTGGTCCACCGTGGTGTCCTCCTGCTCGCGGATCAGGCTGTTCTCGAGCTTGAAGTCCCTATGGTACGATGCACTGAGACATCCATGCACCACACAACCACCAACCATGGCGAAAGACTCGATATTTCGTCCATGTGTGTGTGTGTGTGTGTGTGTGCACGGCGTACTGGTTGCGGTGCATGTTGTCGAGTGCGAATGCGGAGCTAAGAAAGACCAAACCACACTCGGAGGCGTCGAGTGGCACCCCGAGCGTCATGCTGGAGCACACGCAACACACACACACACACACACACACAGACGACATACACGTGTGTGTGTGTGTGTGTGTGTTGGTTCCGTGTGCTCACTCACCAGTGGCGTATGAAGTGCTCGAAGTCGAGTGCCGGTACGAAGCTCATGATTATGACGCCGTGGTTTCTCGTCGGCTCCCAGGCGTAGGCCGTACAAGTCCACGGACTCACCACGATCCGCTGCAGCGAATACTCAACCTTGGTCTGGGAGACATGGACGAACGCAGAAGCACCCGTTGGCCATCCTTGCCTGCCCTCCCTTGTCTGTCTGTGCAGTCGCTTACACGCTCGATGAGGTACGCCTTGTTGTTATTATAGGTGGACTTGGCGAGGGCCTTGACCAGCAGGAAGGGGAGATTCTTGAATGGGATGGCAGAGCTGGGAGCGTCAGCTCTACGCTTGAACAACTGAATGCCCCCGTAGCCGCCGGAGCCAACCACCACCTGCACAACGCCACACAGACACAATCAATCACGCACTCCATTCAGTATGTCTGCTGAGCGTGGTTACCGTCGGCATGTAGAGCGCCAGCAGCCACTCTGGGTACTCGACGCCGGGCATGTGGTTCTCCGCCCATTGGTTCCCTCCGGAGCCACATCGGCGGATGAACCCCTCGACCTCAGCCACACCTGAACACACGAGACGATGGACGGAATCAATGGCCTTTAAGCGTCCCCTCCCCTTCTCTGGCGCTGGTTTACTGGGCGGGTCGACGGGCGGGGTGGTGAAGTTCAGCCCGAGGAGCTCCTTGGCCTTCCTGATCTCCTCACGAAGCTGGCGAAGGTACGTCAACAGGTCGGGCAGGGTGGTCTCGGGGTCGGCTCCGTGGATCCTCGACAGCCGGACGGCATACGGCGGGCAGCCCGGCGCTGGCAGGGGATCCTTGCGAGGCCCAGGGGGGGAGTCAGGTTTCTGCATCCACATACACATCCATCCATCCATTACATCCATCCATCCATCCATAAGCATTACATCTTTCGCCCTGTTGTTCCCATGCTTACGATGTTATCATCTTTTGAGAAGCTAGGGCCATTCGGGAGGGGGCGGCTCAAACAAGGATGCGATGGTCCCGATTCAGGACGGCTACTGGCTTGGAACTCCGACTTGCTGTCTGGAGCCCTGCGCAGGGTGGTCGCAGGGAGCCGGGGAGGTTTCTTTGCTATGTCTGCCCATGATGGCTCCTTGCTCTGCGGGGCCTGTCGCGGCAACATCACGGCCTTGTGCTAAAATCTCCCCCATTCACCTCATTGCGAGCTCGGGGCTCGCAGGGGAAGGCGGGTTCGAGCACGCGGAGCCGTCGCCGCACGAGAGGAGAGAGAGAGAGAGACAGAGAAGCCGCTCAACAGGCAGCAGCAGCGCAACAGAAGGGGGAGGAGAGGAAGGGAGCAGCTGAGAGGGCGGAGGAGGCCAAAGATGGCCCTGCAGGACCTCTACGCACAAGGTCTTGTCGCGCCCGATCCCAAGGCGCCGCCAGAAGGTAGGCAGGCCTCTGCAAAGCGCCATTTCACTCCTGCGTACTCACCTTTCTGTTTCGTGTCAAACGGCTTGCTTCTTCAGTCCGCCGCCATGCATGGGACGCCCACGACGCCGATGAGGCACCCCTGTGGCGCGACCAGACGTCTGCTGACATCTCAAGGTCGCTGCCACGGGTGCACCAGCTCATCCACTGGGCCGCCCAGGACCTCTACGGCGCCGGCAAGCCGCAGCTGAGCTGCTTCGACAAGTTCGTTGAGCAGCACTGGCTTGCGCAGCTGGCCCGAGAGGTCTGGTGCAAGCTGCCGACGGCCTGGCAGAGGGGGTCCTTCTTCTGCGGCCTACTCAGACGTCTGAGTGAACTGGCCAGCATGAAGAGGGCTGCCAGCGCCGAGATAGCAGCGCTGGGGGTGCCGCTGGTGGCGGACGGGGGAGGGAGGGGGCGTCGCTTCCTGCACACGGCCACCATCAGCGACGGGGATCCCCACCAGGAGGTGTTGATGGAGGGGATGAGGGCGAGGGGCGAGAGGGAGTGTGCCGTGATGTTTAGCGTCCACGAGACGATCGACACACACACAGGTATGTACGCCCAGCCGCATGGTGCATCTCATGCGCCTGTATGATCTTCTCTTTGGCCTCTTCTTTCTTTCTGATATGGCGCAGGTGCCCGGGCCATGGCGCAGGCCCCGTCGACCAGCTACACCGCCGAGCGCGACAAGCTCTCTGACGCGCCGGACTGGTGCTGGGACGACGGCGGCTGGGAGGTGCAGAAGCTGCACGCAGTGCTGCATGAAGCACGGTAAGCGAGAATGAAGCCATCGATGCTCTACCCGCTTGATCACATGTATGTGCGCCCGTCTGTGTGTGTATCGTAGTGTCATGGGCCGTATAAGGAGGGCGGGAAGGCACCCCCACATCTGCCGCATCAAGGCCGCTCAGTTTGAGCTCGGCGCCGCGGCCATCTATGTGGAGAAGGCAGAGGGCCTGCAGCTGTCTGAGGTGAGTGTGCACACGATGCCACTGGAAATCGACAATCACACGTGCGATTGGTTGTGTGCTATGCCGATGGATGTGTTCAGTTTCTGTCTAGCAAGGGGTATCAGCCCCCCAGTCAGCTCGAGCACCACGAGGGCCTGCGTGTGGCGCGGCAGATGTTGGAGGCTTTGGCGTTCCTGCACAGTGAGTGCATCATCCACAGGGACGTCAAGCCTGCCAACAGTAAGACACACAAGAAGAGACAGACACGGATGCCATGCAAAGTACATGCCCCCTGCTGCTCTTTTTTTCTTCAGTCATCTACGATCGGCGGAAGGGCAGGAAGGGCAGCAGCCTGAAGCTGATCGACTTCGGCTAGGCGGCCGTCTTCGAGGGGGCAGCTCAGCTCGTGGAGAGCAGCACGTCGGCGGTCACCATCGACTACCAGCCTCCCGAGCTGAGTCGCTCCCCCTGGCGCCACCTGCACCCCGACACCGCCCCCGATGACCTCATGGACGCGAGCAGCGACGTGTGGATGACGGCCAAGTCCATAATCGAGGTCGTCGGGGGGCGGTTCATCAGCCGAGGCAGCGGCGAGGGCGGTGACGCGGACGACGTTGGCGAGCCCATCGAGGTGCCCCCGACCATCCCAGCCCCTCTCGCCACCCTGCTCGCCGCCGCCATCGCCAAGCCAAGGGGGGAGAGGCCATCAGCGCAGGAGCTGCTGCAGGCGGCACGGAAGGCGGAGAAGGAGGACGACCAGCAGCGGCAGCAGACGGCCGCGGGCGCAACCAGGCCCCCATTGCACCACCAGCCCACCACAGCCAGCACCCTTCCCCCCTCTGAGCAGCAGCCCGCCATTCCCAAGCCCTCCAGACCCTCCCCCGCGCACCCACCAGCGGGCTGTACGTTCAGGCCGCAGCTAACCCGCATAGCGAGCCGCATCCAGAGGGAGGGGCCGGTGCACGAGCGGCTGTATGCCCTCCGCACCGCCCAGAAGGAGGAGGCGGTGGAGACGACGGACGAGCAGCGGCCATGGGTGTGTCGGGCACCCGGAGGATTGTGGCGGCCCAAGACCGGACGGAGCCTGTGTGGGAGCGGCTGTACAAGAGGCGGGTCAGGGGAGGAGAGGTCACGGCCGATCCGCACCAGCAGGAGGACCCAGCAGCAGCACCACAGTGGGAGGAGATGGAGGTGGGGCGGGGCGGGTTTCGCGGCTGGGGAAGGGAGTCGAGGGATCGAGCAGCACGCCGCCATTGATCGTAACCTTCGTGTGCCTCGGTGAGCCTCACACACACACACACACACACACACACACACAGACAGACAGACAGACAGACAGAGAGAGGGAGAGAGGGACGGAATGGAAACAGGTTTCTTCGGTTGTGCTGTCAGTGTGTGTTTGTGTAGCTTGATGGCGTGTCTGGGCCTTTCCTCTCTGCCATTGCTCTACTATTGGTCCGGTCTGCCTGAGTGAGGCTGGTTGCCGTTCTGCACCATCCATCGGCCATTCCATGGACTCGTCCATACAAGAGAATGCATAGCTACCGCCCCTGCATAGCTGCCGCCCCTGCTCGACAACAAGATTCAGTTTGTGGTCAAGAAGTGGAGGGACACACGGCCCCACCCGTCCCCACCACGCAGCCTAGCCTCAAGACAGCTGACAAGGGAGAGCCCCCGCTGCACCCGACCGCCATCCGCTTCACAGAGGCCATGCGCAAGACCGTCAGCCTTCTTGAAGCCCTTCCAGCCGTCCCCCCTACCCACAGTGAGGCATTGTCAGCACTGGACGGTCTGCAGGAGGCGTGTGCGGCCAAGGGTGGTCTGGCGGGCTTTGTGTGGGGGTGTGCGTCCTTCCTGGCCGACGAGATGCAGATAGAGGGAAGTGGTGAAAGAGGGAGGGGGAGAGGGGGAGGGTGACAGCGACAACAGCTACTGGCACGTGTGTTGGCGTGCGCCGCGGCAGCAGCGGCTGCCGGTGCCATCTCGTTATGGCCATGGCCGCAGAAGAGGCCTGTGGAGTGACTATGGCCGTGATCTAGAGCCGCTGATCGGTGACATTGGATGTAGTGCTAGTTGTGCACTTCCTGAGGCGGCCGGAGCATCAGAAGGTGAGAAGAAACGTGGTCCTAATGTCGCCTAGTCTGCATTGCATTGTCTTCCACTGTGTGTGATCCCTCGGTCAGAGTGGCTGGAGTGTTTGGTCCGTTTGCTGGACGTCACGGAGCGGCGACCTGACCTCTGGCAGCTCAGGTGACACACCAACCACACCAAGCCATTCCCGTCTCCCTCAGCAATCTCACCATGTCTGTGTGCTGCGTTTCTGGCTGCAAACAGACATCTGGTCTTCGCGGCCACATCCCTGCTGCCCTTGTCAGACATAGCCGACATACAAGCCAGCCGCCTAGAGCAGCAGGCCATCGCAGCAGCCACACACCACCCGGAGAACCGCAACGGCGACCAGAAGGACACCGACCCCCTTCCCCCTCCCGCCAACCGTCTGAGGCTTCTGCTCATCCTCTCCCACTTCCTGCGGTGCCAACACGGCCGCAAGGACATGACAGCCACATCGGATCTTCTGCCGTACTCGCGGTGGAGCAGGTGGTGGTCAAGGGGCCGCTAGAGACGGCGAGTGAGGCGCTCGCGAGTGCGGTGGATGACGAGACCGATGGCCATCACCACCATGACGAGCAGGAGGACGATACGCACAGCACGTCTGATGGCGAGGGAGGCGCCACGTGCGCCATCTCACGAGAGCAACATGGGCGTGAAGGGGTGCCACGGAGGCGGCGTCGTTTCTCGCTGACGTCTGGGTGCGGTATGCCCGGCAACAGGAGATCCTCACCCTGCCGATGCACAGACAAGACAGCAACGGGCAGCAGCCGACGGACCCGAGCGAAAGAGAGGGAGATGCAGACACCCGCCTCGTCACCACGAACACACACGCCGGCCAGATCGAGCAGAACAGATCGTCCACGGGCTCTCATCGACCCCGTTCCTGTGTCGCCGTGTTCCGTACCTCCTCATCTTCGTCTCAAGACGGTGACACTTCGGCTGCAGCGTATGACGCTGAGGGAGAGCGCACTGCCCTTCAGAGCAGCACCAGATGATACTAATGGTGGTGGAGGTGGTGATCCGTGCAGTCCGTTTCGGTTCTTGTCGGTGTGGGAGCTGATGGCCATGACACTGAGGGAGGTCGCCAGGGATGGCGGTGATGGGGGCGATATCGACAAGCAACCTCGGTACGAGAAGCACACACAAGTGCAGGAGAGTAGAGTGCACTCCTGCCCACGTTGTCCTGTCGTGTTAGGTCAAGAGATAGTGTGGTTCGCATCAGAGGTGGTGCTGCGTCAGCCCGACCAGCTGTCCCTCATCGCATACACCAGCAGCCGCACCACACACACCAAACACCGACACCGTCACCAACACCACTGACAGAGAGAGGGACGCTGCGCTCGA